TTTCTGCTCAATGGGAACAGGTTTCTGGAGGCAGAGACTACGTCTTCTCCTATGTTAGTAAATCACCACCAGGCTGGTGCTCAAACAATAACTATAGGCCGAGCTGGTAGCACCACCTATCATTAAGGCACATAGGGAAAGGGGATAGGAGCTGGGTGCAGATGGATAGGAGCAGACAGGGAGGAGGCAAGAGCTGGAATGGGGACCAGGAGCCAGGGGGTGGATAGGAGAAGGGCAGGAACTGGGGTGGGGGTGTGGATGAGAGAGGGAGATAGGGTGGTGTTGGAATGGATAGGAGCGGAGAGGGACAGAAACAGGCTGAAGGCACAGGCACAAATCTGGGTCTGTAATCACTAGAACACATTGCCCTCCAGAACTTGGCAGAGAAATGTAGAGACTCTGGACTCCTGGGTTCTATTCCATCAGCAAATAGCTATCCCGCTAATGGCTGGACCACACAGACTATAACAGCCTATTACTGCTACCAGTTATTCCATTAGCTCAAGTGGTCGAGGTCTGTTCTGTGGATTTAAAAGTCCCAACCCTGCTGATGAGCCATGGGAGGGTCAATATGGTTCTACCATGATGGGCTTTCTGGTTCCTCAATTTGTTTTGTCAAAAAATAGGAAAATACATTAAAAATAGTACATGAAAAGAATGTGAAGGCTGCAAAGTCAAACACCCAAAAGTTAGGAAATAACAGAATTCAGGTTGCCTGAGCAACATTAATTCAGCCCCAAGTGTGTATGTGTTATGATACAGTCTTTAATTACATGATCACATACTATTTTAACACATGACCCCTGCTTCATTCAGTGCACTGGCTGGACCTGTTCTGGGATGCATTAGGGTTGTGTAGTGAATGGGGACATTATGTGCAGCAGGGCCCGTCCCTCATGCTGGGCTACTTAAACCAAACTTTTCACAAGTGGGAATTAAATGTGTGTTCCTCATTTTTGGCTGCCAGGCTTGAAACCCTGAGGACAGATGTGCAGAATGCTCACAGCTGCACCTGAAGTCAAGGGGAGCTCTGCTTTGAACATATAAAGTGCTACAGAATGCTAAGTAATTTGAAAACTCAGTTCCTAGGTGTCTCAAGTTAGGCATCCATACTTAATTAGTTTCAGCACCTACAGGTCTTCCCTTTGCGAGTTTGTTACCCAGGGGAGTCAGTGACAAAACAGCCTTCTGAAAAGTACACAACAATGCATTTAGTAGGAACAATGCATTTAGAGAAAAAAGGATTTTAAAACAACAGTTTTCACGCATGTCTGTCCGTCCTAAAATCTTACACTGTCCTGATGGTGAACTAGTCAGGCCTAACTTCTTCGGACACCCCAGTGGGTGCCTGCAGCTTTGTCTGGTCCCCCCCTCTCTTGACCCTTTAAAAATGTCTATGGTCCTTTTTATATCCTGTGTTTCATGGCTTTGACCCTGCCCAGTTTTGTAAGTTGGAACCAGGAGGTCGAGCCTTCACAGCTGATAGTTTAGCCATTATCTCTTAACAACATTTACATGGCAGGGGTGACCACTGTTTCCCTGCCTGCTTGTTCTTCCTGGCAGCCCTGTTAACCCAGGATAGTCATATAGTAAACATATCAGTAACCAAGCCAGCATACAGTATTCGTAAATTACTACAGAGCAGTTCCAAATTCACCATCATAACATATATCCCAAGTAGGGTGACCAGACAGCAAGTGTGAAAAATCGGGACGGGGGTGGGGGGTAATAGGAGCCTATATAAGAAAAAGTGCCAAAAATCAGGACTGTCCCTATAAAATCGTGACATCTGGTCACCCTAATCCCAAGATGTAATACCTCAGGGAAGTGCAGGGCATGGGCAAGACTCCATTTAAAGTCACTCTGAAACATGGTTTTTAATGGACTGGATGGTAGAGCTTTATTTCACAGAAGGTTTCAGTGCTGAACATAACATGGTCATAGTGAGGGACTTAGACTCAGATCCTCAAAGACATTTAGCTAAATACATTTGAGAATCTGGGCTTTAAAGTGCTCCCTTCACACCCTCCTCTAAATAAATTATGCAGCCTGAAGCTTCACCAGGATTTTCCTGGCAACAAACATTGGATCAATACATTCCATCATGTTAGTAATATGTAAAAAAATAGTCTGTGATTTCTAAAGGGCTAGGCTCTGACCCAGACCACACACCTGGGCAGGAGGGTCAGAATGCTCTTCACTACCTGGGCTATAGGCTACATGGTCATTGGGTGTGGGTGACCAGGGATATGGGGCACTGCATGCCTGTTTCTTTCTCCCCACCCCAAGTTGGCAGTGGGAAGTGAGAGGAGCTGAGGCACCAGGTTGGGGATAATAATTTATTGCTGGTAAAAGCTAGAAGCAAATGACTACCCTTTGGAGCAAGGAGGGGATTGAGGCGCCCGGCCCCACAATTCATTCTCTGCACTAATCCTGGAGTGGTGCAGCAACATGCCCCCCTTACTATGGCCTAAGCAACAGAGAGTCCTGTGGCACCTTATAGACTAACAGACGTATTGGAGCATGAGCTTTCGTGGGTGAATGCCCACTTCATCACATGCATCCGACGAAGTGGGCATTCACCCACGAAAGCTTATGCTCCAATACATCTGTTAGTCTTAAAGGTGCCACAGGACTCTCTGTTGCTTTTTACAGATCCAGACTAACACGGCTACCTCTCTGACACTTACTATGGCCTGTGACACTAAGACGCAAAATAGTTAGGACCAAATTCTGCTCAGGCACACCAGTGTAAAGCCACAGTAGCTTCATGTACTTCAGTGATATACATAGGTGAGACTGTGAGCAGAATTTGTCCCTAAACTTTTGCCAGTGCTTTGGTCTGTGAGCTGAGCATGGCTTCATTGCACACACATGGAAAAGGATAACCACAGGACATGAAAATCTCCTGAGAAATTAACAGTTTAGGCATTAATTTTTCCATCACTAGAAAGTTCTGTTCTATTGCTATCCAGGTTACTTTGCATAAGGCCTTCTGTTTCCATTTAGCTGCTATTTTACAGAGAGCAGCTGTGTGTGTTTGGAGTAACAAAAATACATCGGCGTCCAGCAGAGGTGAACTAGAAAGACAATACTTGTGCTATTAAAGGAATGCTGTCAGGTTGAAAATCATGGTTTGAAAATAATAATATATAAATATAAATAAGACCTAATATGTCATGTAGGTCTACATGGCAAACCAACACCATTTGCTATTCAAACCGAATGAGTGTTGCTGTTTTTGTGTGTGTAACTCATTTAGGTTGGCCACTGAAACTATGGAGATTATCTGTCTTGCACAGACGTTGCATGAACTCTTCAAACGTGGAGGGACAAATACACAATCTAGGTCAGATCCTCCGCTGCTGTAAGGTGACTTCAGCTTTATTGCTTCTCAGCTGTATTGACTTCAATGGAGTTGTGCCCATTTACACTTGCTAAGCATCTGGCCCCCATCTACCTAAACCAATAACATGTATAACATTGTATCAGAGCAATTCTTTAAAAACATTCTTTAAAAAGAAGCAAACTGCCCACATTTCCTGGTTTCCTATGTTCCTTGTCATGGTATCTTAGAACCTGGTTAGAAAAGAAAACAGGTAGTGCATTATTGGGTGGCTCTCTCTGGCTCCCATTGGCCCAAGGCTAGGAGAGATGAGCTAGCAGTTAGTACACTAGACTAGGATTCAGGCAACTTGGTTCTGTTCCCTGCTCACCCCAGTGGCGTAGTATCGCCTAGGCTAACAAGGCCTAGGCCTAGGGTGGCAAATTTGCAGGGGCGGCAAATTTATAATAGCAGCATTTTTGTAATCGCAGCATCAGTGATTTTACCACACATAGGCGCCAACTTTTCCCGGCGCCGGTGGGTGCTTGTCCCTGCCCTGCCTCCATTCCAACCCCTTCCCCAAAGTCCCCACCTCAACTCCGCCCCCTCCTTGCCCCTATTGGACTCCTTCTCCAAATCCCCGCCCCGGCCCCACCTCTTCCCAGAGCGCGCCGTGTTTCCCCTCCTCCCCCCTCCCTCCCAGCGCTTGCCGCCACGAAACAGCTGTTTCGCGAAGCCAAGCGCTGGGAGATAGGGGGAGAAACGGGGACGCGGCGCGCTCAGGGGAGGAGGCGGAGCGGAGGTGAGCTGGGGGGAGGGGGGAGCGGGAAGCTGCCGGTGGGTGCAGAGCCTATGATTGCCACCAATGACGGCGTGACGCCATTTAGTAAACATACTCGCGAGAATTTGTAAAAAAACGAAAACAAGTTCATATGGGGCAAGGTGTGGCAATTATTTCAGGGCCTAGGGGCGGCAAAATCATTAATCCACCACTGGCACACCCACAGTCTTCTTTCGTGAACTTGGGCAAATTAATCTGTCCTATGCTTCAGTTCCCCACGTATAAAGTGGGAATAGCACTTCCCTACCTCAGAGGGGTGTTTGTAAGTATGATGTCCATTAATGAATAAGAGGTGCTCAGACATAAAAGTTATGGGGACCATAGAAGAATCTAGATCAAATATTTTGGGCGAGGAGAGGGATTCCTTGTCTTGTTTTTCAGGGACAGATAAGCTGATGAGATGGGTGTAGAACTTCAACCTGAACTACCAGGTACAGGCTAGTTCCAAAGCAGATCTTAGTTAAGATTGTCTGCAGGTAATGGTCAAACTGCCATAGTGTATAGGGTTTAAAGGTCAGCCAGCACAGATTCATGTCAAAAGCATGGTGCATAGGCACATATGAATGTGGGATGTTGTGGGTACTTTAACTCGGGATTTCTATTCTTTTCAACACCTGTAGAACAAGCTCTCCACGTGTTCTACCAGGTGTCATTCTAAAAGGACAAATTCCACATTATCACTGTTAATAATATACATGGCGTTAAATGTGCCCGAATGTGCACTGTGCACGTTTGTTTTATGGAGGTATAGTGCAAAAAAGGGTTAACAGCCAGATATGGCTGTGGCATGCTGGGAGCTGTAGTTTGCCAGCTGTAAGGCTTCTGGTATTTGTAGTTTGTTTCCACTTCCCCTCTGTGTGTAATGGCTGCCTGCTGCAAGGTACTGTGTCAATCTGTTTTCTTTGGGAAGGTCTTATTTTTAAAATGAATCCGTGACCTAGGGGTTTCTGTAAGAGCTGGACCTTCAGCACAAAATGCAAACCTTAAACAAAGTGAGTTTCAGGTAAAGTTACGTTTCTGGGCCTGATTCCCTGTTGGTTTGCATCTTGTGTTGGCATTGCTGTCAGATCAGAATTGAAACACCTTACACACATGTGCAAGGCAGTTCAAAATTGGGCTCCCTATCTTTTTCTGGGATATGTCCATTTCCCCAATCCATCTCAGCAACTTTATTGGACACTTGTTGGACATTTTGAGCCCCACATTTTGTAAGGAACCCCACCCCAGCTCATTAAAATGGTTTGATATGATTTTAAAATTCAGTGAAAACATATTTGACTGTATGTGACCATCCCCTGCAGTATTGCAACCCAAGCACTGACGCAGAGTTCTTGGGTATGAGAACCTGAAAATGAAGTTGGCTATGGGCTAGTCAATTTCACTTATGTTTAGTTTCTCTGTCTCAGCTGAGTGAAGTAAATGAATAGCAGAAAGAGAGTGAAAATTACTGTGTTGAAAAAATTACTTCAGTTTCCTGAGCTGTGTGTGCAATTCAGATACAGTGTCGGTGACAGCTGGGAGAGGACTTCCATTGGGAAGTGACTTGTTTGGGGGTGAAGAGTTGAGGGGGAGCAGAGGTAGCAGGGCCCAAGTAACAATGGCAGGGGAAGGCAGCACAATCAAGCAGTGGACGGGTAGGGGACAAGCACTGGGGAGTGGTGGGAAGCTGGTAACTGGCAGCAGGAAAGCCAGGCAGGGTGCTGAGGGGTGCAAGGCAAGTGGGAAGCGATGGACATTGGTGGTGTTAAGAGGGAGGCACGCAGGTGGAAGTAGCCGCAGCAGTATGGTGGTTGGGCTGGTAGTGAGTGCAGCGGTGGCGGCGGCATTGCAGAAACCCCTCTGATCTACAAGCAGTCTGGCATGTGACTAAAATGGTGTGCTGGGACCCCGGGGTTAACAATCTGAGATGCTGCAGGCATTTGTAATATGATTTTAAATCTGTCCCTTTAAATTTCCCTTTGCTCCATGTTTAATTTCCAGAGTATGGAGTATGTGAGGGTCTGTCGGAGAGGCTGTTAATACATCTGCTCTCTACAACTCCAGGTATGAAGATCTCAGCGGTACTGTCTATTTCTGTTATTCATTTAACTGACTGCTCTCAACTACACTGGTTTGAACCCAGAGTAACTCCACTGGCCTCAACTGAGCAACTTTTGACTTATGCCAGCGTAGCCTAGAGTAGAATCTGGGCCGTTCTGTTTGAGCTATAAAAGTATCTGGATCCGACTGGCCCTGAACGATTTCATCCTGTATCACATGGATAGGCAGCGAGTTATATGGACCCGTGGTGCCCGTGCTCCACCAATATTTAGGAACGTGGGCCCAACTCCACCAATGTTTGGGCTTCCCGTGCTTTGGGGGGCCCTGTGCTTCAGGGGGATGCGGGGTCCAGGGTGCGGGCTGGAGCCAGGTCACTCGCTGCTGCCTGCACCAGGCCCCCTGCTAACTCCCCAGGTCTCCCTGGACTCTGCGTCCCCTTGAAATGTGGGGCTCCCCAAAGCGCGGTCCCCAGGTTGGTTGCCCCGGTCCGTCCTATGGACGGGACAGCTCTGCTTGGACCCGTTCTGGGCACCACCACAAATTATACAAACCTGGGCCCATGATCACATGCGCTGTTGGAGTTTTGAGGAATTGTGGCAGTGGCAGTCCAGGTTCAGTTCCTCTCCCGCCGTGTCACACACCGGCTTTTTGTCTGGGTTTGGAGAGCCATGTTGGAGTATCTTGGTCCCACTCTAAGAGAGCCCAGCCTGACACACAGTGTAGCATCAACAAGTCAAGCCCTGTGATTGTTTCTCTGCCCAATAGCATGCTGTAAAATGTATCGATGGTCTCTTTAAATATGTGAACGAGGGGAAGCTAGCGAGATCAGCAAGATGGGGAGAGATGGTCTGAAGAAGAAAACATGGTTTCTGTCCAAATGGAAGGAGGATACACATTCTTTTAGCACAGGTTATAGTCTGCCATCACCTTACTGTAGGTGCAATCAAATAAATTCTATTTTGCCCTTGTGTGGTGCCTTTCGTCTCATAGCGCTTTATACACATTAATTAAGCCTCACAACACCCTTGCCAGGTAGAACAGTATTATGAGCCCCATTACACTGCTGAGTAAACAAAGCTATCAGTAGGCCACGGGAGTTTCCCAGCCAACATCACATAAGAGGCCTCATTCCCCACTACCTTGCACCTCATCTAGTCATTTAGAGCTGTGCACAGTTGATGCGAGACTGAGTGAGTGGAGGATTATGGTTTGGGAGGAGAGGTAGAGAGGAAGGATGGTCCAGTGGTTAAAACAGCAGCCTAGGCCTTGAGAGCCCTGGGTTCACTTCCCTGCTCTCCACTTTGATTCATTGTGCCTCAGTTTCCCCATCCATAAAATGGGGATAATGGCACTGCTCTGCTTACAGAGGTGTTGTGAGGATAAACATGGTAAAGATTGTGAGGTGCTACTATGGTGGTGGTCATTTTACGTGCATTTGCACAGGTGTAAATGACTATGCGACGTGCAAGTCAGTGGTGAATTGAGCCCTGGAAGTCTGTGGCAATGCTCGAGTAGAGAGCAGGTGCTCAGGCGCTCATGTGACGTAACCACAAGATCTCCTTGGAAGTCCTGACTGCGAGTGAAGGTGACCTCCTTTAAACTGAGCTGGGTCCCCTTTCCATAACCCTTGTATTTATATTTTCAGGGGAACAAATAACAGCTGAGTGTAGATGTTTTTAAACTCCTATCTTTGCCTTATCTGCCTTTGAAAAAGCAAACATGAAACTTCGATTGTTTATTTGCCTGCCTCCCTTTAAGATAGCATAACCTTGAGAGTACAATGTGTGAGCTTTTTTGTTTTTAAACGAGTGATGTCAATGCTAATACATTTCTTTTAAAGTATAAAGCAGTCAGTCCTGCCTTTCATACATACACATCCAGGCTTCTTTCTTCTGCCAAGATTGACCAGGCCTGGGTCAAGATGGGGAAGCAGGATTAAGTGGGGCCACTGGAGGTTGGGGACATCAGAGAGTGGGTATGCAACACTGATATATAAAGGTGGCTTCAAACCAGTTCACAACAGTGAGTAAAGCTGATACTGTACGTAGGAGAGATGGCAGGAGGTAGGAGTCTGTCTCATGGGCATGCAGCTCCCTGCCCATGGTGAGGTAGTTAAGCACGGCAAGAGCCTTAAGACTTGACTCCTCTATCTTAGTCAGAGGAGGATCAGAAAGGCAGCCATGGTGGGCTTATTGTTATTGTTTGTATAGCTCTACAAGTGGCTAAGAAGTGGTCCCCATTCTGCAGATCACACAGTGAATCTGTTGTTATACAGAAGCTCCCTGACTTACGCAAGCGTTCCGTTCCGGAATGCCTTGTGTAAGTCGAGTTTTGCGTAAGTTGGTAACGTATCTCCGACAACACTGGTCTACAATTTTTGAGAAGTCGTCTGCTTCAGAGATAAAATGTGCTATTTATTATGTATTTTGATGTGCTGAATTCAAATATGACAATTAAAACAACTGATTGGCTACTGTTTCTAAGATATTTAAGTTTTTACATTTTATGTCTATGTATATTGTGTAGATAGTAGAGTTTTAATCATAAATTGTAAACCTAGGTCTTTTCATGTGTTTATGGTTGCTTTACATGATAATATTTCATCTGCCCTGTTTATGTAACACTTTCAAAATCAGCAAAAGGGTTATATAAATAAAATTTATTATGAAACAAAAGGCAAAAAACTATTATGTACATAGTTTAGTCCTATTCAGTGTCTACTCGGCGCTTCTTGGCTTGTCTCTTGTATTCATTAAATGGAGCATCTCTTGTCACTGTCCAGCAATAGTCTGCAAGCATTGATGGGCTCCATTTGCCCTGATAGCGTTTCTCCATTGTTGCAATGTCCTGGTGAAATCACTCGCCGTGCTCGTCGCTCACTGCTCCGCAGTTCGGTGGAAAAAAATCTAGATGAGAGTGCAAAAAATGTGTCTTTAGTGACATGTTGCAACCAAGGCTTTTGTATGCCTTGAGGAGGTTTTCCACCAACAACCTGTAGTTGTCTGCCTTGTTGTTTCCGAGAAAATTTATTGCCACTAACTGGAAGGCTTTCCATGCCGTCTTTTCCTTGCCACGCAGTGCATGGTCAAATGCATCATCTCGAAGAAGTTCACGAATCTGAGGACCAACAAAGACACCTTCCTTTATCTTAGCTTCACTTAACCTTGGAAATTTTCCACGGAGGTACTTGAAAGCTGCTTGTGTTTTGTCAATGGCCTTGACAAAGTTCTTCATCAGACCCAGCTTGATGTGTAAGGGTAGTAACAAAATCTTCCTTGATTCAACAAGTGATGGATGCTGAACACTTTTCCTCCTAGGCTCCAATGACTGTCGGAGTGGCCATTCTTTCTTGATGTAGTGGGAATCTCTTGCACGACTATCCCATTCGCAGAGAAAACAGCAGTACTTTGTGTATCCAGTCTGCAGACCAAGCAAGAGAGCAACAACCTTCAAATCGCCACAAAGCTGCCACTGATGTTGGTCATAGTTTATGCACCTCAAAAGTTGTTTCATGTTGTCATAGGTTTCCTTCATATGGACTGCATGACCAACTGGAATTGATGGCAAAACATTGCCATTATGCAGTAAAACAGCTTTAAGACTCGTCTTCGCTGAATCAATGAACAGTCTCCACTCATCTGGATCGTGAACGATGTTGAGGGCTGCCATCACACCATCGATGTTGTTGCAGGCTACAAGATCAGCTTCCATGAAGAAGAATGGGACAAGATCCTTTTGACGGTCACGGAACATGGAAACCCTAACATCACCTGCCAGGAGATTCCACTGCTGTAGTCTGGAGCCCAACAGCTCTGCCTTACTCTTGGGTAGTTCCAAATCCCTGACAGGGTCATTCAGTTCACCTTGTGTTATGAGGTGTGGTTCAGAGGAGAAGGATGGGAGAAAATGTGGGTCCTGTGACATTGATGGTTCAGGACCAGAAGTTTCATCCTCTTCCTCTTCCTCGTCTGACTCAAGTGAGAATGATTCTGGTGCATCAGGAACCGGCAGTCCTTCTCCGTGGGGTACTGGGCGTATAGCTGATGGAATGTTTGGATAATGCACAGTCCACTTTTTCTTCTTTGACACACCTTTCCCAACTGGAGGCACCATGCAGAAGTAACAATTGCTGGTATGATCTGTTGGTTCTCTCCAAATCATTGGCACTGCAAAAGGCATAGATTTCCTTTTCCTGTTCAACCACTGGCGAAGATTTGTTGCACAAGTGTTGCAGCATATGTGTGGGGCCCACCTCTTGTCCTGATCTCCAATTTTGCAGCCAAAATAAAGGTGATAGGCTTTCTTAACCATAGTGGTTATACTGCGCTTTTGTGAGGCAAAAGTCACTTCACCACAAACATAGCAGAAGTTATCTGCACTGTTCACACAAGTACGAGGCATCTCTGCTCACTTTGGCTAAACAGAAATGTGTCCCTTTGCAAAATCAAACACTGACAAATAATAGAGCACGACACTGTATGATTTCTAGAGCTGATATAGGGCAATTTGTTCAGCAGAGTGATGTAAGCTTCGTTAGGATTGCATCATCCATGACTTCTAGGAATAACATGATGCAATTCATATCATGTATGACGCAATACCAGCTTCAGATTGCATCATTCATTGTTTTCCCTAAAAAGCAAGTACTGTCCAAACCCAGTCATAGATTTATTCATAGATCCAGTCAAAGATGTATTTTAGTCATTTTTGGTTTAAATTGAGATCCCTTCTCTTTATAACTCACTTATCCTCCACCATTCCCAAGTCAAGGGTCCTATATACTGACCCAATAGCATATCTTGAAAACTAGAGCCAATCAACAATTTTAAGCATCATTTTCGTTCTCAGTGACCCAGAATTAGTAAAGTTTGACTACATTTATTTCAGAAGCATTTTGGCTGTAGAGCAGTGCAATTACGCAAAAAAAAAAAAAAAAAAAAAAAAAAGTACATACAGAACTTTTTCCATAAGTCCGGATTTCCGTAAGTTGGGTTTGCGCAACCCGGGGAGCGTCTATACAAACATTGGGCACACATAGGGAAACAGCTCAGGGACAGGTAGAGCATGTGCAGGGAAATCTATTTAAAGTGGAACCCATGTGTCTGATGTTCTGAAACCGCTGGATAAGCAGAGGTGAAAACCAAAATGCAGAATCTCATCCGTGTGCAGCTGCCTTATGGCCACTTTAGGTTCCTCAAGCATTCCTCAGCTGGAGATCTCAGTGCCAGCAGCAACAGCAAGCGCCCTAGGGGATCACTTTCAGCTGTTCTATTGTGTTTGTCAGAGGAGGACTTACGTATAGTGTTTTTTTCAAAATCCAGAAGCATATTCTCACTTCCCCCAGATGATACTAAAGACAAGAGCAATCGTAGCAGTGGGGATTCAAGCTCTGAGCAGGGCTGGTGGGATTAAAACCGCAGCCTTGGTTTTGGTGGGCTTGTTTTCCTAAAACATCTCATGGGGATACTTCATTTGCACACATGTCATGCTTATTAAAGCAGCCAGCGTTGCATTTATAGTTGAACAGCTGCGTCTGGAAGGGGTGGGCCCCCTCCATACAAACAAATGACACCTGTTCCAGGACTGTCAACCTTCAGCTCTGTGTAAGGCTCCCAATGGCCATTGTACCTGTCACTCAGCCAGCTACAAAATAATCCGCTCCCTGCGAGGTGGTTACTGAATGTTCCGAGAGTATCATAGCAGTAGGCTTGGTGTGCTTGTCAGAGCCCCGCAGCTAGGACATGTCAAATGCAGACAAATTGGCTCATTTCTTTCTTTCTTTTTATTTCCTCAGATGAATCCGCCTCCACCAGTTTCTTATAAATCTGATAAACGTTGCTGGGCTTAGACTGTGGTGTGACCCGTGACATCATCAGAGATCCAAGATGGTGGAATTTAATTGGAGGGTGAGGAGACTTTTGTTGTTAAAGCCTGGGGCGGACAGGGGTGGTGGTGTTAAAGAGGAGTGTGTTAAGCTAGAGTTGGGAATTTTGTGTCGGAGTGTGTGTCTTTGGTTGGAATAAACGCCATGTTCACGTTTAAGGGGATTTAACGACAGCTCTCTCCCCATGGAATCTGGAGACTTAATATTATATTTCCTACTATATATATATTCAGTGCCTTGCAAGTTGACTTTGCTGTGTGCATATGAATAAGGACTTTGCTGTGGGCCTCAGAGTACTATAGGCAGACTCTGTCTTGCTTCTCCATACACACACTCCACATGGCATTTGGCTCTGCTTATCTTACTTTCTGTCTAGTGCCCCTTTCATGGCTGTGCTGTAGCACAGTTGCTGTGTTGTCTATACCACTCATCCCCATGTTGCTGCACGGTATCCCTGGTATAGATATACCACTTAGCAAGCAGCACACCAGACGCAGTGACTTTCTTGAGTTGTGGCAGGTTTTAATTAAAGCCACGAGCAGCTTATTGGTAAGAAGTCACCTGAGGTTATAGCCAACTGGCATTTGGGGCATATGAGAATATTGGCTCTGCTAGTACACCTAGAGATATGCATAAGGGCACCCTAACCCCCCTTAGCAGGTGTACAGTGCTCTGTTCTTTCAGGAACAATGAGCTGCCAGAGAGTTGTCATTTACCCTCTATTCTTATCTTCGCTTGAGTAACATGGGGTGAGTGGAGGAAAGCAGCTAAATCTTATAGTTTTATTTGGCTTGGATTCTCCTCATCTACATTTGTAAAGCTGTAACTTATCCTCTTTTAAATCCCTCCTTAAAACCTACCCCTGCATTGATGCCTGCCAGTCACTCCTGATTAGCATTGGCTAGGCAATAGGTCAGCTGGGACTTAAATTTTTCTACTCAATTCTGTTTGTTTGCCCCATACTCCCATATTTATGTGTGTGCTTAAAGCTGAGCCTGTGTGTAATCTTTGCAGGATCCTGGCCTTGGTTTGGTTTCCTCTGAAGAATTTAATATTGGTCAATATCAGAGACATTATCAAATATCTTCTATCCTGAATCGAGCAGACATCCTCCCACCCACCTATGCCCTGCTTACATTAGAAAAACAATCCATTTACTGAGAACATGGGTAGTTTCACTAAAAGGGTGCGGAACATAGTTTCCTTTTGTCTGCACTTGCAATTAAGTTCAGCACCCATAGCTAACAACCATTCTAGTGTAGGCAGGGCCCCAGCGAACCCTCCACACCACACTGTAATGGATATTTATCACCTCATTGACTTGTGATGGTGCCTAGAGCTTGGTTAAGAATAAATAACAAATAGTTTATTCTGCAAGTTTTTCTGTGTGCAAATTGTCTGCAAACAGATCTGTTTTCTCAGATTCAGCCATTACTCAGAATGATTGGCCAGATCGCTTTTGTGACTGATGTGTGGCCTGAAGTTTATTCACAAGCAGCACATTGTGAAATATTCATTATGAAATGTCTGAGCTCTTTTGGCTAGACACAGATGTCACTGCTACCTGGGGAAGCAACTCAACATAAAAATGGGGGATGAGCCAGTTGGATTTTTTTTTTCATTCAGAACTCTGTATTTTACTCACAGAAAAGCAGTTAACCAAAAAAAAAAAAAAATCAGTATGAAACACGGGGATTCCACAGATCAGCATTTATTATCCACCCCTGGGCAACAAAAACAGCCTTATCGCAGGGAACCTACAACTTCCTGTTTCTGGATCAGCTGCTTTTATGGCCCCTCCCTGGAGCTCTGTGTGGGCCAGAGATGGAATGAACTCAGGGTTATCTGATCTCTGCAGCCAGTCTCATGATGTATTTCTGTGCCCTGAATGGATGAGATACTTTTTTTCAATACGCAGCACTCCCTTTTTGGACTTCGATGTCTGCACAGGTATTCACAGAAACCATAGTCATTCCTCCCTCCCCCCCCCATCCCCCCTTGAGAGAGGAATACACATCTCCCCATGTCTGGATGACTGTCTCAACAGATCACCGTTATAGATCAATGTTACACAGAGCCTGGCAGCCACTGCTACATGCCTTCATGATTATGGCTGTCAGTGAACAAGGAAAAGAGCCAATTACAGCCCTCACAACCCCCCAGTATTGGTAGGGTCTGGTCACCATCCAAGACAGTGTCCTTATTACAGTGGAAGATGGTGTCTGTGATTTGTCAGACATTGGCCTACAGCTCCTAAGCTACAATTCTTGGCTCAGCTCTGGCTCTTTTGGTCTCGTACATGAATACCTTGTGCAATTCCTGTTTTGTTTCCATCCTGCAATTGCAACAAACCAGTACATAAAGATCTTGGTCTGGAGCCAGTATTACCATTGCCTGATTTGCTCATCTTTGATATTATTCTGTAGCTACCTGATGTCAGGTCCAGGTAAGACGGTCATCAGCATGGCTAGCAGGCTCCATGTAGCAGGAGCACATTTGGGCTGTTAGGTGCCAGGAGGAGTTTTGATATTTAATAGTTCTAGAGTTATCATCCACTGTAATCCCTCTTTTCCAGCAGATGATTCTTCAGAAACCTGGAGTGAAATCCTGACTCCATTGAAATCAATGGCAAAACTGAGTACATAAACTTCTAGGAAGGCCAAAAATCTTCAGCACTGCCCAGGAAAGCAACTTTGATCATGCCTAATGTCTGAGACGAGTGTAGGAATCAGGTGAAGCCTCACAATTACCACTCAAAGTTTGCTTTCTGCACATCTCTTGCAACATTCACTTAAAATTTGCCCTTCAAGCAAACCATCTTGCTGGTAAACTAATTCACGGATGAGCAAACACAGAAGGAGGTGTGAATACGGGCAAAGCAAATTGAGATGAATCAAGGGAAATATTTTGCAGTCTGCACCTGAACTCTGATCCACGTGGCCTGAAATTTCCCATGGGAAGACTGCATGCCCTGCATTGCCATAGCATGAACAAAGTCTTGAATCATGCAGCTTCCATAGGGAAGTTGCATAGTATGCCATAGATGTCCTTTAAATGTCCCAGTTGCTCAAGTGTTGTAGAAACTCTGTTGAACTATATTGTTTTATATTTCAGGTTTTGGAGAATTTTCCACTGCTGATGTACATTTTGGCAGCTAAAACATTAATTCTTTGCTTGGCATTTGCTGGAGTAAAAATATACCAGAGTAAAAAAATTGAACAAAAAATGAGAAAAGAACGTGAGGCAAAGCTGAAAAAGGAAGCAGAGAAGAAGGAAGACTGAAGAGGTGGCTCAGTCGGTGTGTGCTAACAGCAGGAGGGCAGTATACTGTTATAGCTCATTAGTATGTTTTGGTTCTGATCTAGTTGGATTCAAGGGTGATCTCGCTCATCACCACTTATCTTGTAGTCAAACAAATATATTTCCTGTGGTACTTCAGCACCATGCATGTACGCTAAGCGGTTCAGTCCTCTAGCACTGACACAATGATCACCAGAAAAGTCACACTGCAGTGCATGACCTTTAAGAGATTCTCTTTCTGCTGTGTATCTACCTAAGCTTTTATACCATGCTCAGCGCCTATGGGATCTGAGCACCAGAAGACAAGTTTAAATTGGGCTCAACACAGGGGTAACTGGGTGAAAATTCTCCAGTCTGTATTATACATGAGGTCAGGCTACATGATCTAATGGTCCCTTCTGGCCTTTAAAAAAATCTAAGACTTTAAAGAAAACCCAAATCTCTCACATAGTTTAAGTATGTTACAGGACGAAAGTACTTTAGCTGGAAGAGCAAAACCATATCGCAAGGAGTTCTCTGAGGTGGATATATCATGCAAGGTGGATATATCACTACACAACAAGCTATGCACTTTACTGGTATAAATGGGCCCCATTTTGGGAGCTATGAGCAGTGCTCGGTGCTTAAAGGTGTTGCATACCCTTGCCTCTGACTGGCTTGAGAGAGAGCTGAGCACGCTCAGCATCTGATTGAGTCCATAGCATGGAGAATTATAGTCGTGCCAGTATAATGTACACCATCTAGGATGTGGTACCCAGAAGAGTGTTGTCTAGTGATTAGCGCATAAGACTGCAGGGGGGATCAAGGGACAGGGGTGCTATTCTCTGCTCTGCCACTTGTTTGCTATGTGACTTTGAACAAGTCACTTTCTTGCTCTGTGCCTTAGTTTCTGTATCAGTAAAATGGGGCTAATACGAGTTCCATAGCGCTTTACTTCTTTGTAAATGTAAAGTGTTATTAGCAGAATTCCTGTTGCATTTTTAAATTAAGCATCACCCCATGTAAGAAATCAATTTCGATTTTTAAAAGTGTTAGCAATTTGGGCCCAAGTCCTGTCACCATTCTTCTTCTTCCGGAAGTCCGTCTTGAGTGAATGGGAGTTATGCATAATAGCTGGTGGCAGACTATGGCCCTAAGAATAAGTTGTGAGAATGCAGTGGGTGTCTATATGCCAAGTTGCTTCACCACTTTAGGTGCAGCTTCTGCTGTGATTTTAAACTGATTTAGTTAACTGGTGCACAAGGCTCCATAGACACTCCTATTTCAGTTTAAACCAGACTTATTGCAGTTTGGCCCAAGCTGATTAGGAACAGGTTTAAGGCAAATGGAAATAAACCACTCTTAAAGTGAAATAAGAGGTTCCCTACAGGGATTTGCAATGATTTAACTAAACCTGTTCAACTAAACTGGTGCAAGCTGTAGACAAGGCCTAAGGAAAACAGCAAAGGGCAGATAGAAAAGTTTCCATGAGACACATTCATTCAGTATGATTCTGCATGTGAATCAAAACACTAAAATGGCAGCTGTCACTGTAGCAGGCAGGGAGACTCCCTGTGATCCAAATATCCAGTCCACAGCATGGCAGCATCACGCCATGCACCACAGGGAGGGTCATTGTTAGCTGAGACAGGAAGATACAGAGGAAAATGTTTTGAATTTCTTCTATGTATAGTCCTTTGATTTGACGTCTGGGAAGGATTAATTTATGAACTAGAAAGATAGGGAAGAACTATTTTGTTTCTTTATCATGTCTGTGACTGTTTTATTAAAATTCTACTAGGCTCGGGATAAGATTTCAAAAATAAATATCCAGGGCTGGTGTATGTGTGGGAGAAGAAGTGTTAAGGAGCCCTCTCCCTCCATTCAAGCCACTGGGACACAGCACTAGGGAAGTGTGGGAAAGTCTGGCTGTCACTGTGCCCTGTATTTGCAAGGGAAAATGGCTTCCTGCCTAAGGGCTATATCCTGACCCTCCATTAGCTAGTGTTCAGACTGTGGTCAGTAGCACTCCGCTACTTTTATGACATCAGCAAAACCTGCCCTGCCTGTGTCCCGTCACTGGTCCGCCATGAATTTGGGCCAGAAGCATTCTTGGCACACAGGTTATACCTGCCAGTGTTGGAGATTTTCCCCCCAAAAGGCATAATTTGGTCCTGACGCTTTTGGGTCTGAATTATATTGCCTGTCATCTTAGACTGTCAACATTGGAGCAGGTCCTCCACTTGGCACTGTACAGCAATGAGAATGTTTTGTGTGTTTAACAAGTAATAAAAATTCTGCTGGAGAGAGAGAGAGGTTAAATCAAAGTAGTTGCATCCCTGCTCATGCCTGGCATCTGGTTTCATATGGAGCCCTTCCCTGATGTTATCCTCTGAGAGAGACATGCTGCCATGAAGCATGGGGAGGCCCAGGGAGTACTGAGGAGATGGGCCTCCACAAGAACACCTTGGCTATCCAAAGGTGTCCCCAAATCCTCAGGTTCTCCTCACAGCTATTGGGACACTCATGGATTGGAGGATCAATCTTTTCTTCGTTTACGTGGGGAATGGTGGCAGTGGGAAGAATCCTCCAACCCAAAGTATGTTCTAACACAGGAACATAAGAATGGCCATACTAGGTCAGACCAATGGTCCGTCTAGCCCAGTATCCTGTCATCTGACAGTGGCTGGTGCCGGATGCTTCAGAGAACAGATCAGGGTAGTTACTGGGTGATCCATCCCCGGTTTTTTAGTGCCAGCTTCTGGCAGTCAGGGGCTTAGGGACACCCAGAGCATGGGCTTGCATCCCTGACCATCTTGGCTAATGGCCATTGATGGACCTATCCTCCATGAACTGAACTTAATTCTTTTTTTGAACGTAGTTATCCTTTTAGCCTTCACAACCTCCCCTGGCAATGAGTTCCACAGGTTGACTATGTGCTGTGTGAAGAGGTACTTCCAAATGTTAGTTTTAAACTTGCTGTCTATTAATTTCATTGGGTGACGCCTGGTGCTTGTGTTATATGAAGGGGCAAATAACACTTCCCTATTCACTTTCTCCCCACCGCTTTGTGAAATCCACATAGTGTTAAGGCTGCAGAGCTTTGTGTTCGGCCATGGCTTTCCACATGGGAAGGCTGATTTAGACCAGTAGTTCTCAATCTTTTTGGGCTCAGTGCCCATTTGTAAATGTTTATGGCCTGTCACAACCCAGTAAATACTTTGAGGGTGGAGGTTCTGGGGCAGAGCTGTAACTAGGCATTTTAGTGCCCAGGGTGAACAAGCATATTTACGCCCCCTACCAGAGGTGATGTGTGGGGCGGTCACGTGCCTCCCCAGATTTTTTGGTTGCACCTCCCCTCTCCAACCCAGACAGCCTGGGTGGTCTATTGAGGTTCATTGGGGGTGGAAGTGGTGTGCCCTCCCTGAGCCCCGTTGCATGGGATTGACCCCATCAAGCCCTCCCTGGCATCGCTGGCCTGAGCCACCCCTGAGGCTTTGTGCTCTGGGCAGCTGCCCCTCTCGCCCTGCCCTGGTTATGATCCTGCCCTGAGGTGGTTTCAGGTGGATCCTGCCCAGCACTCATCCCACAGTGGCAGCTCCTGTGCCTTGGGCCTGACTGGGCTTGGCTCTGGGCATTGCAAACTCCGGGATTGCAGCACCACTCAGGTTTGGCCCTGCCCCCCCTGACTGAACCAACTTTGTGTGAGTGGAGTTGTGAGCTGGCTCATGGGGTTGCAGTACCTCTCACTCAAATTTGGCCTACCCAGACTCCCATAGTCATGACAGCTGGGCCAAACCTGAGTGGCGCTGGGACCCCAGAGGTTGCAGTGCCTGAAGCAGGGAGGCGAGCCCAGCCAGCCCTGTGGGATAGGAGACACAGGAGCTGCCATGTGCCTCTTCGAAACATTCTGGCGACCCAATTTGGGGGCCCAACCCATGGGCTGAGAAACCCTGAGTTAGACCATATGTTGTAAGCGTAGCATGCTTTCTGTTCTCACTAATTTAATCATTGTTTTTTCTCTGCAGATTTCCTGACATTTCCTGCTCATGTGGATACCTTTCCCGGGAGGGTGAAGACTTCCCTTAGATTGAACGATGTGTCAAAGAAATAAACCGTCCCCGAGCAGCATTCACTTAAACTGCATATTGACTTTTTAAACATGTAATAAGAATATCCATCCTCTCTTTATTCAATAAAGGTTCCTCAGTAGGAGCGGCCTGGGTCTCTGCTTACCAGAAATGCTGCACTTAAGGCAGGTGTCGTAAAAGAGGCTGTTCTTAAAATCAGCTGTGGAGTGCAGAAAGACAATCACTTCTAACGAGGAAATCCATCACAGGTGCTACAAGCTGGTGGTGCTTGCAGGAGGCAGATAATAGAAAGCCCCAGACTCTCCTTGCTCCTGTCTCAAGGCAACCAGCACCAGCTGCAGAGGAGAGCATAGGGCAGGCCTAGTCCCTCCTCTGGACACAGAAGAACCAATCCAGGGTGTAAGCTATTAGGGACAACATCTATGTGTCTTCCTAGATCTACCCTACATGCAGCGCCTAGTGCTCACAGTGCTGTACTGTAAAAGTAATAGCACAAATCAAACCATAACTCTTAAAACTCAGCAATTTCTGCCCTTTTGAGGAGCTGGAGGTTTCGCTTGCATTATTTTGCTACACAGAGAACACTTAGAGATGCCAATAGTTACAGCTGCCTCAGTATTTCCATTATAAAGGGTCATTTGTCAATGGCTTATAACTTCTCAAAGTTTCACCCTTGTGTCTGAAATTTGAGGGAAAAATCAGGCCTGTGGCTCTGAGGTCACAATTCGGGCCTCCGTATGGTGCAAGAGGTGAACGAACAGTGGCTCACTGCTGCCCTCTTTCTGCGACTGCCCATTGTTGTATCTGATGAAATCAAACAAGCAATTCTAGCTCTTGGAGACTGTAGATATTGTGGGCATTGATTTGTTTACCGCTCATGTAACTGAAGTGCAGCTCTGGGGTGGGTTTCAGTAGCACAGAATTACATAGGCTACTAGTAAGGGTGATGACTTTTTATTAAAACCTAGCAGTCAAGCTAGCTATCTCCATGATAGTCTCTGACAATCCATGTTTTGTAAAACTTATACATCTACCAGGGACAGAAACTGAGAAGGTGTGGAAAGGTGAAAGAGTCTGTGGTGGTACAGGACTCCTGCGTCTTGCACTGTGAGTCTCCAACAGTTTCCAGCTGACAAGCCTGTCTGTGGAATATTTATGTACTGCCTAGGGCCATCATGTGGCAACTATAGTGAATTACAACAGTTTCCATATCTGCCTCTGGATCATGTGCATGTATGAACATGGTGTGTAGTCTCCTTTAATGACTCCACTGCATTCAGTTCCATTCTGCTACACTGTCTGGGGAAAAAGCACACATAAAAGATATTTAATCAAACTGTAAAGCCCAACCCTTCAGAGAAAGCACGTGAAAGCCCACTGGCTTCAAGAAGATGTCATGCTTTGTCAGGTAATGACTGAATGTATCAGAGCTGATATGCCAACATATTTGGGCCATATCTCCATGATCTTCCCTGATTTTTAGAGTCCTGTAGCTAAAATGATCCCCATCCTAGGAAGTGGCATACATGGTTACAGTCCAAGAGCAGATTTTTAAACACCGTTAGGATAGCAAGCATTTGACTGTGTTGGAGTGTGGGTCTCTACTCTGAACCATGATTATATAACAATGGCACGTCCTCCCTCAAAACAGCTGCCCCCAGTGCAGTGTCAGCAAAACATGGGCCTACTTAAAAAAAAAAATAAAAAGGAAGAAACTTGCTTAGTGCACAAAGCAACCGAGGCTGGTGTTAGAATTTGTGGGGCCCCAACCTGCCAATGGGGAAAGGAGGATGTAATAGTCCGGTGCGGGAGCTGTGCCCTCTCAGGGGCCATCGGGAGCCAGGCCGCCTCACTACACGGCCCCCCCAAGTCGGTCCTCGGGTTCCGAAGATCTTGGGGTTCTGCCCCTCAGGCAGGGGCTAAACGAAAGCACAAGGTTAGATAGGCCCAAACGCTAGCTCAGGGCGGGGCCACACACACAAGGGTCCGAGGGGCTCAGAACCTTCCTACAGGCTGAGCCAATACCGCAAATAGCTAAGCCCCTGCCCTCAGTCAGGGCGGGGCACCTAACCCTTAGGGTTAGGGATTTTGGGCACCAGTCCTTGCCTCAGGGGTTGGGCAAGAACACTAATCTCGGGGCTCAGTCCTTGCAGCAGGAGCTGAGCAATCACAGTTAGGTAGCCCAGGCCCTTAGTCAGGGCGGGGCAACAAACAGTAGTTTCAGGGGAGGCTCGGTCCTTGCAGCAGGAGCTGAGCAAACACAGTTAAATAGCCCAGGCCCTTAGTCAGGGCGGGGCAGCAAACAAAAGTTCAGGGGCTTAGGCCCTTACGGCAGGGCTGAGCGCAAACAAGTTCAGGATGCCCAGGCCCTTAGTCAGGGCGGGGCAGCAAACAAAAGTTCAGGGGCTCAGGCCCTTATGGCAGGGGCTGAGCGCTTTGGGGCAGTCCTTGCCCTAGGCAGGGAGGAGGAGAGACTGCCACCCGGCGTGGGGTGGCAGGGGGGAACACAGGCCCACCCACTCCACTGTGTTCCAGCCCGGGGCCCTATCCGCAGCAGTCCGTCTGCCGCGGGGTCAGTGGGGATCCTGCCCGAAACACACTGACATGGGTTCGGGGTCTGCTATCCCCGGGCCACTTCCCATCTCCTCCTCCTCCATGGGTACCTGCTCATCGACGGGCTCGGCAGCGGGGCCCCACACCATGGGGTCCTCGTCTTGTTGAGGGCTGTCTAGGTCGGGCCGCTCCTCCGGTCTCGGGTCAGGGGGATGCTCGGGTCGCTCCTCGGGGTACCGCTCTAGGGGCAGGCTCGGTCCGTCGGCGTCCGGGTACCTGGCTCTGGGGAGGCTCGGCCAGTCCGCCTCGGGGTACCTGGCTCTGGGGAGGCTCGGCCAGTCCGCCTCGGGGTACCTGGCTCTGGGGAGGCTCGGTCCAGCCGCGGCAGAATACCTGGCTCGGGGCAAGCACGGTTTAACAGGAGCCCGAGCAGGAGCGTCTGGCCTCTCCGGCCGCTGGGCTACAACTGAGTGCTGGGGCCTGGCTTTTATACTTCCTGTCCCGCCCCTTGACTTCCGGGGGGGCGGGAACAGGCGGCGGTGGCTCCGCCCACTTGGGTGGCCGTTCCGGCTCCTCCCTCTCAGGGGCCGTCGGGAGCCAGGCAGATTCACTACAGAGGACAATAAAACAAAGGCAGCACTACCTCCTCATCCTGTCCCGTGGCTGGAGGGGGTGAGGAAGCCAGGGGGGAGTTGGTTTTTCCCGCTCTCTACCTCAGATTCTGCTGCCAGAGCAGGAGTCCCTGCATGCGTGCTCTGTAACTCAAAGGCTGGCCACTTGCATTCCTTGTGCTTTAGCTCTGCCCTGAAATTAAGCAACCCAACCATAACCAAACATGCAGTACCTTAGCAAAAGGACGGCATGGGTGTGTGTTCGTGTTCCCAGAAATGTCAGAAGCATGCTGGTGTCTGCACTACAGAAACAAACTGGTTTTCAAGTCTTAATGGATCATGGTTTTAAAGAGCTTCTCCACAACCATGAGGGCTAGAAAGTTACTTTTTCAAGAAAGCTGAGAGTCTCATATAGTCACAGGACTCCAGCAGCTGGGGCTTTAAGAAAAACACCAAGTATTGTGAGACTAATGATAAAAATCAGCAACATTGTGCATTATGGACTGCTTGAATAGAGTAGGTATGGCTTGACCCAGCAATGCTACACTGGTTTTTTTAATTTAATACTTTGCTTTTTTTTCATACAAAGTGAAAGTGAAGAAAAAGGATTCCAGCTGGAACTGCATCAGACATGTTCAATAAAGAGAATGTAATTACCCACTCTGAAATTTGGCCTGAACAATGGTGTTAACAGCCTGGTTTTGGTGTCATTGATTTTTTTTTAAAACCTCGAGTGGTTAGGGCCTCAGCTTTAGGTTTCTTCTGAAAAGCAGTGTCCCTTAATATTGTAACAAGTTACATCTTCTCTGGCCACGATACTCAGGGATGGGACATTGCACTTCCAAGAGGTTTCTGGTGTTTATACTTATTTAGAAGGAGAATGTGCAGCTAAAATGCCATATCGCCAGAAAAATCGCAGGCTCACACTTCCATGGCTGATTCTTGTCTACCAGGGGATTGGTTCAATAATACAGCTAATATAGCGCACCAGACTAGGATTTGGGAGTCCTGGGTGCTGTTCCTAATCCTGCTGAAGTCATTCAGGTGCTTCAATATCTTTGAGGATCTTTGCCTCAGTTTCCCCATCTGTAAAACAAGGATAAATGATACTGATCACTTTGAGATCTATTGATGAAAAGTGCTATACAAGATCTAGGTATTATTACTTCCAGCAACAAGTGAGTTTTTCTTATAGGTTCCCCCGTCCAAGTACTGAGCAGCCCTACTTAGTTTATGAGAGCAGAACCCAAGGGATGTGGCCATGTTTTTCTCAATATACCATATATACTCGTTCATTAGCCCGTTCGTTTATAAGCCGACCCCCCAAGATAGTTAGGTAAAAATAGCAAAAACTGTATCACCCTTTCATAAGCCGAACCTATATTTCAGGGATTGGCAAACTTTGACTCCTGGCCTGCAGGGCCGGCTCTAGGCACCAGCGCTCCAAGCATGTGCGTGGGGTGCAAAAAGCCGGGTGACCCTCAGCTCCCAGTGTCCGTGGTTTACCGTTCCCAGCCAATGGGAGCTGCGGGAAGTGGCGTGCCAAACCGTGGTCACAGGGAGCCGAGGGGCTCCATGACTGCAGACGCTCCAGGTAAACAAAACGACAATGTATTAGATATTCAATTCAATGATTCCATAGAGTTTAAAATCATCAAATTTTGGTGTAGACCCGTCTATAAGCTGACCCCCGCTCTTTGATGCGTCACTTTTTTACCAAAAATATTTGGCTTATGAACGAGTATATACGGTAGATATCCAATAGCAAAATCTAACTCTTTTACATGAATAGTCTGCAGTTGTCAGAGTATTCATACTCCATAAAGCTAGAAACCTTATAGGGAATTTTATGAAAAGTTTGTTTGTTGCAGACATAAATAATTAGGCATATTCTGGTCTCTGCCGCCATATGGATATTTTCCTGTATGAATCTGAGACAATATCCACTGCAAACATCTCT